TATATATATATATATATATATATATATATATATATATATATATATATATATATATGAAGTATTTTTTGTAGTTTCCGAGTGCCCATTCCCGAGTGTGTTATGTCCTTCTCTGCGACCTCTCTGAGACTTTACAAATAAAAAAAGAAAAGAAAATTCCCTGTTTTACACTTGAATTTCACTATTCAGATTTTGAGTTTTTTCATTTTTCTCGACTATTGCATGCCAGACGACTGTTGGCGACGGGAATGGTTTTTTTTGGTTGGTTTTCAAAATCGTACTCACTCTGACTGGGTCGAGCGAGCCAACTTCTTGACGGCATAAAAGTTTTCTTTTCAAAAATTTCTTTACTTTATTGCTAGATTCGAAGTTGTCCATTATCAACACAGTATACAGGCGTTTTTTTTCGATGAAGTTAATTATTACGCGGTAAGAAAAGAGAGTCGAGAGGTTCAACAGTTACCGGACAGCACACACACGGTTTACATGATCGTCTTTAGAAAAAAAATGAAAATGACACAACACTGGTTCATTTCTTTCAGCTGAAGTTGAAAATAAAGAAAAAAAATATGATATTTTGTCCACATCTTCTAGCTTTTGCACAACGGTCTCGAGAGTCGTAATGTCTTTCGGACGGTGTTTTTTCTTCTATGAAACATTTATATATCACGTTGAAAGCACTTCACTGAGAGAGACACACGTCACAGGGAACAAACAAATAACAAGTTATCAACAATAACGTTGGGAACGACGATGTTACAATAACGTTTGCAAGGTCCGTTCAAATTTTATTTATGCATAGTTTTTTCTCTTTAGTTGGAGTGTTCATTGTTGTTCTTGGGATAAAACCTTTTCCCGACTTTAATACTCCTTGCCATTTGACTTGTATCATTTCTTTCGCCTACACAAAGTTTTTAAAATTTCATTTTTTACTTCGTTTACAGGATTTGTTTATTTGAGTTTATTCACAGAGTTGTAAAAACTTTGTAGAATATTTTAACTTTTCTTCTTGTGATCATCACGGCCCTATGGTGTTTTTCAGTCAATAATCAATAAAGCCGGACACAAAAGAAACACTTGCGTCGGCCTCCCCGGTGCTCCGGTTAAGGCCTCGTTATCATCCCCGTATCGAAAATAACCCTCTTTTTTATATCAACTCATTATTAATTATCATCCAGATCGTCATTATCCAACTGACTCGTTATAAACTGTATGTGTTGTTCCAGTTGTTGGTTTTGATGACGATGGCACTGCCACTGCAGCTACGAAGCACCATATCCAGTGGTCCGTGCCTGGAGGTAGTGATGATAAAAGGGTGGTAGTCCATCAGGACTCGTTGTTGAATTCGATTGCGAGGTTATGGCGAGGCCCAGCGGGGGAGGCCCCGGCGAACGCTAGTGAGCCGCAAGAGAATGTGCTGTTAAACCCTGAGGGCTCAACATTGGTGGACTATGGCTATGTCCCATTGGCGATCCATGGAGATGATCCTGCGGATGATAGCCCTGATGTAAACCTTGTCCCTGGTGTCCAGGTGGCATGCCGTCCATCATGCCGTCGCCAAGTGTATTTGGCGGTGTCATACGTTTCTCCTTTTGCCGACGGTTACAGAACCACACCCTGACAACTTCTTTTTCTAATTGTAAACTGTCAGCAAGTGAGGTTATTTCTTGGGCTGATGGTTTTGGTTGTTTATGAAAATGTTGCTCTAGTGCACCCTTAACTGATACTTCGATCGATGTTCGCTTTTTTCTTTTTCTACCCTGCGCCGCTATTTTATCGATACTCGTTGGTGAACCTGTCGTTGAGTCTGCTTCTTCAAGCCATTTTTGCAGAAGGGGTTTCAATTTACACATGTTTTTGAAGCTCAGTTGTAAAGCTTCGAACCTGCATATCGTCGTTTGTGAGAAGACATTCCCATACAGTGTACCAAGTGCAAGACCAACATCAGCCTGGGTGAAACCTAACTTGATACGTCGTTGTTTGAACTGTTTCGCGAATGCTTCGAGATCATCAGACGTCGGTGTATCTTCTTCACCGGCGCTGTGATCCCTGTCTAGTGGATGACCAGCGTGGAGTGGATGTCCGGCCGGTGGACTGTGATTATGAGCATCCCTGAGATGATGCGATAGACCAGTTTGATGATTGTGAAGTTGATGGGGATGTTGATGTGGATGCTGATGTAGCATACCATTCATTGCAGCGTGGTACTGTTGTAGTGTAGTTGGTGATGCGGCCCCACCACTTGGATTGTAGTGAGCCGACGGTACAACTGGTGCATGCCATGAATGTGGTGACCCCATTCCAGGTGACTGATGTGGACCACGGTGATGCATACCTTGGACAGATTCAGTTGCCGTCGCAGCGGCTGCCAACGGTTTAACATCCAAGCTCGAATTACCCTGAGCGTGTGGATGATGGTGTGGATGATGAGTCGTATGATGCATTCCCATCGATGCTGCCCATGGATCGCTGCCTGGTTGAAGACTAACCCATGGATTTGTCGTTGGTAAACTCGTTGGATGAGTCAGACCATTTGGCGAAGGTGACGATGACACTTGGTGATGATGATGATGATGATGATGATGCTGCGGCGCCGGCATGTACTTCATCTCACCGGCGTCGGCGGCGCTGCGGGGCGAACCCGATGAGTAGCCACCTACAGCGATGTTCATACCGATAGCTGTACCCGAACCACCGTCCAGGTCGGCTGACACTGCGCTACTAACCGGCATGTACGTGGTAGTTGCCATCTACTCCCTCACCAGTCAATCGTAACCGCACCACTTGCTGGCTGCGGTTCTCCAACTCCCTTGTCAACAACAAACAATTTCGATTATTTTGTTTGCTGATGACGGCTGCACTATTCTGTTAACTTATAATCACTGGGGCTTTTAGTCCTCACAGCTTTTCAGGTGGTGTATGCAACTTTTTTTTTCAAGTCGAATTCAATGATCCTGAGTATTATAATGTGAAGTACCCTTTCATGCGGGGACTATGGGAATTCGGCAAGATACGAAGAGGGACCTACAATTTTCTTTATCCGTATCGATGATTGAGAGTGGAGCGATGAAACTTTTGAATTTTTTCCGTTTCACATAGGTCTCAAGTTAGTCTTTGTTCATGTCAAAATGTTGAAAATTTTCAAGTCTCATTCATGACCAATGTTCGGTGGTAGGCTCCACGTAGTCGCGATTTTCACTACATCTCTATTTACGTTTTTTTCCATTTTCGTTATGAAAATCGAAGAGAACTAAAAAAAACACAAATTCACTATTTTTTATGTAGTTCACTGTAGAACGGGGAAATCAGAAAAAAATCAATGGTTTTTCTGTTATTGATGTACTCCTTTTTCGCACACAGTCATCCGGGTATATTTCTATTGGGTTGCCCACTTTTCCACATGATTCACCGTTTCCTTAAAACCAATGAACCAATGAATTCATTAAAATTTTTTTGCCCAATAAAACTAATCGTCGAATGGTTTGAAATTCACTACGAAAATTTTCTGCTGTTTTGAATTCCGACGCGTCTTATTGAACGTTTTGAGCACAACACGACTTCACGAACGTCGCCACACAAAAATAACCAGCGAGTATCCCACTGAACGCTGTCGAATCACTACGTTTTAAATTCGTGAGTGGTAATTATTCAAAAACACCATGGTTACACACAAACTGCAGTACGTCAAATTATTTGTTAACTATATGTCCTTATGTAGTTTACACGATAACCCGAATAAGCGAGACGGAATATAATTTCATAGTTTTTTGAGTAAAAAGAAAATATACGGATAAGAGCAAAGATGCGACTGTCTCTCATGCGTTATGCATGTTGTAGCTGAGAGCGACTGACTGCCTCGCCTCACAACTTGCCCGAGGTTCCCGACGGCCACTCGAGCTCCCCGAGAGATAGACATGCGCGCGACCCTCAGCTCAATTCCCCCACTCTACCACCAGTGCATTGCTATTGGTTCGAGTAGCAAGGTGGCCGTCAGTGCTACGTCACGATTGGGCGGTGCTACCAATTGGGCTCCGCCTGTTCTACGGGTATGAAGTTCACGTTTTCCGAGTGAAAACGGGGCCCTCTACCCCTGTCTAACCCCCACTCCTTACCCCTCGCGCGCTTCTATCAAGCCCGAGAAAAATCTACCGAGATCACAGACCCTCTGGCCTTTCTCTCTTATTATTTCGATTTGTTGCTCTTATTTCCATTTTAATTACATTATTTTATGGACTTTTTAATAGTATTCATTATTCTAAAAAGGATTTCATCATTCACAGCTATTGTCCTCTATTTCAGTTTTATTTTTAATAACAATTCCATTCTAAACATTCAAGTTATCCTTATGAGCAAATTGGAGGTTCATGAACGGGAAAAATGATCGTCAATCACTAACTGCCAACATTTAAATAAGCACGATGTAATATTGTTGAAAAGAATTTTCACAGTTTATGGAGCAAAATCATTAGAATTGTAACAATTCTATTATTCAATATGAGGAGGGGGAGGGGTGAGATAAATTGAGAGAGATAGTGTAGTGTGCCTGGCATGCGCAACAGGTGAAGAGGTTAGGTAGGCGAGCGGGTAGAGGAATTCGGTTCGAATATCTTTAGTATAGGGTAAAGTGAATGATTGATTAAATCGTAAAATCATGTTATTGGGCTTTGTCAGTTATAATTCGTACTACTTTTCCATGTTCATCATTGTCGTTGCATTGTCACAAAATACATACATTAATATTAACGACGGGTTAATGCTCAAAATTATCGTTAATGTTGCAAATAATCTTGAAAGATTGCCAGTGCAACAGGTTATCTATATGGTTAACTTCATGATTAATTATCCAGTTGGGTAATTTCGATCGAAATGCCAGAACAGTTGTCAGATAATGACGGTAATAAAAATGCCCGGTTGGCTTTTAACACATTTAAATGAGAAGAGCCACAGGTAGCCATTGTAATACAATTCCCTTCTTTTCATATGTACATGAGATCAAGTGTATGTACACTTTATAGCCGTTTGTCCTAGTTGCCAAATCACGCTCAATAAATCGGTTTGAAAACGAATAAATAAAACATTCAATCGACTTTCAATAATAATGTTTTTCAGCCCTCGCGTTATGGATCAAATAATTGCGTCTCAATAAAATAGATAGACTGTATATTGGTTTTATTCGAACGGAATAGGAAAAGAAACGATAATTGATGCTCCATGCAGGAATAAATGAAACGATACATTTGTGAACAAAAATTTATTGTCTTACTTATTATGTATCATAGTATATATACCGTGTTTGTGTGGCACTATGCCCAGGAGGATGAAATGCATATACGTGTTCGTCGGGAGATAAAGAAAAAAAGACAGATTTTAGGAGCGGCCGTAATCTTATTCTTCCTGGCGAAAAGGGTCATATATGACCCTTTTCGCCAGGAAGAATATTTCTCTACTCTTTAGTGTTGGAGCATATGTAAAGACTCCCCTTCTCAATTACATATATTGGATCATCCATTGTAAAATGAATGTGAGGGGTTTTATCAGTCAATAAAAATTCCTCTAATCCCACCTTTGATATTCGCAGCTATTGAATATTAGAGCAAATAACTGAACTGAGAATTTATAGACCAAAACAAAATAGATTGCTTTGCCAAGTTAACGAACGCAAACAAGCAACCAAGGATTCTCGTGTATCGATCCATTGAGTCTTCACTCGCATGCGTATAGTACTGCCTTTAATTCGATTTCTACCAATTACTTTTGGAATTGCATAAATATGCGATTAAACAAGGCGTAAATAATTTACTTGAGAGCTGAGAGGTAATTTTTACTTTTTATTTCTGATAAGCCATCATTCGGACTGGTCTCACTTCGTAGTTGTTCCGTCAACTCCCGTGTACATATATATAAACGGGTAGAGGACACCCGTCGCGCCGTCTCACCATGCAACTATTATACGGTGAAATTTTCGAAGGTTTATAAACTACCTGGAATACTTAGTTGCATGATTTGAACAGTATGTCTTTTCCCTCCTCCGCCCCTTAGCATATACCAAAAGTGCAAAAATATCTAAGGTAAACAATATTTGACCTTAGCGATACTTATGAAGTAAATATTTAATATTAACTCGTTGTTTTCGGCAAAAAGTTTCCTATTAATTAACAGATATTGTGAACAAATGGTATTATACATAAGTTTCCATTTCGCATGATCAAATATCCTCCGGATACACTGCACGAAAGAATCCATTTGTTATTAGTGAAGTTAACTAATATGGCACATTATGGTAATTACAGCAAGCAGTATCGAATATACAAAACCAAAACTCGGCTGATTCGGGATTATATCGATGGTCACATTTCATCCGAAATGTAGTTCAGATGTCAGGTATCGGAAGCCTGGAATTACAGGTGTACCCAATAGAGAGAGGCTCGTTTACTACAACGATACGGTGTTTGAATCTGGCGGTCGATGAAACTTTCTTTTTTTTATTGGTGGAGCACACTAAATTTAATTTTATCCTCGTAATTTGATCAACTTTGTGCCTAGGAATCATGAATATTTGAATATTTTATTCAAACAATCCTATTACGGGCCATTCCTCCCCTTTTAGAACATAATACGTTCTCATCAGAGATGGTATGATTTTTTCGCCATGATCTTCACACTTCGACGTCCAAATAAATATATATTTTGATCATTTTTTACTTTTCTCCCTTATTCTACAGTTGAAAAAAAAAAGAGCTGCTGAAGCAACCATAGTAAGAACGCAACATTGTTGACTGGAGTGGGGATGAAAGAGAGATTAAAGTGGGGATGCAAGGGTGAATCGAAGCAGAGTGGGAATAGATGGTGGGGAATGATCGTTTGGGCGAAGAAGTGGGGATTTGCGTGATGTTGCAACATGTCATCAGGGGGCAGCACTGCGCGGTAGGAGTTTATTGGTGTACCAGTACTTTTAAGATCTTCAGGGGAAAAGAATTGACCACGTTTTGAGGATAGTTGTTGACATCATGCTGCCATCTCTCGGAATTCATATGTACTCGGGTCAATTTTCTTCGATACCAATCAGAATATTGCGGATAATCCAGAATAATATAGCAATCAGTTGATTAATTTAACAAGCGATTTGCACTCTCATACCATCGCTCTTATGATCATTTTTATGTTTCCCGTGTGAATATTATGTGAAAAGACAACTCGCTGGAAAATGAAAAATTCAGTTAATTGATATCTGAGGCATTCCACACTATTTCAATAGGCCAAAAAATATTTGTGCTTAATTTTTAGATATGTTGTAGAATAGGTCGAAAAATGTCTGCAAACATGAGAAAAAAAAAGAAATTTTTTTTTCGGAAAGTTGTACAAAATAAAAAATCGGAGGTGTTTCTGGGTAAGTAATTTTTTATAACATCATAACTCGAGAAATATTGGTTGTATAGGAGAAATGATGAAGTATTTGTTTATTCCCAAAGTGTGATAGATTCGTACAACAATTTTATTGTTACAAGAAATTCCAATTTCAATTCCGTTTATTAACAAACAAATTAGAAAGTTGATAAAAAACATATTTGCAGGTGTCAAAAATTCAGAAAAAAAAAAACGTTGTCGACTGCATATCAGAGAATTCACTGTTGCATTTTTATAGGGTGTTTCACTATAGAGCCTGAGATATAATTTATGATGTGAGGCCGCGTCGAGCTAAGTTAACCGACTGCGTTAAGTTGGGGCATCAAGAGAACTCTCATTGAATCATACTCAGTGGTTTCTCAGTATATTATTCTTTTTAATTTCATGAATTGCAGTGATGTAAGAGCTTTGTTGAGGATCATCGTTTCATGTTTTTGAAGTTTCTAGAAAATTGATTATGACTCATAACTAATAAATAAAAACGACGGAAGAGTAGTGCATGAGAGAACTATACAATTGGTGGTACAATTAACATGACATTCTAAATTGGCTGGCTTCTCATTGCTATATCATTTATGGTATTTTTGCTCATCCATAACTGGAATTGATGACTTTGGTGTAGATGTTGAATGGCACTTCTTTGTAACGTCTCCCGGTAAATTACCTTGTGATGGGATTGGCGGTACATTCAAGAGAGTCACAGCACGAGCAAGCATAAAAAGACCGTAAGGCAGCTGGTGCATGTACCGCCCACCTAAGGGAAATGATGCGTTTTTTCCTGCTCTCTACAAGCAGTCATAAACGGTGAGAATAGATTCTTCGCGGTGTTTACTTAAAGATGTGAAGAGGATAGATTTTTTTATTGACATTAAATATATTTAATTATGTAATTCAATTGCCATCGACCAGTGACCGATGGAATCGAACTTTGAGGGTAACACCGCCCGACATGCGTCCAATACCACCCACCTTGTTTTGATGTTTTTTTTTAGCAATGCAGACAAACTGTCATAATTTCGCTATTTTCATTCTTTGTTTCCATTCTTTGGCTTCATTTTGAGAAAGGTTTCATGTAAATAGTAATAAATTATCCTGAATTTATTCGATGTTCCAATGACCACCAACTACCCCAAACAATCGAGCTGTCGCTCGACCGCTCTCTAGTGCAGAATGGAATGGCTGATAAAATAGCCAATAATAACTGATGAAAATATTTTTCTGCTATCGAAAAGGTCGGGATAGATGTGGAAATATATAACGAACATGTATTTCGCACTCGATTCAATTACGGGCCAATTGAGATTTGAAAAATCTCAAATTCCGGGATCGAAATATTTTAAGACTTCTGTAGAAAATGATTTTAATGTTTTTAACGATGTTTCCACGGGAGAAAATTGAAAATTTCTGTTAAAATTACTTGTCCTTTTCAAATATTTGCATAATAAAACAAGCAGGGAACAGTGTGCATATGA